AGCTCTTTGGTTGGTTTTATGTAATACTAGCTGAGTACCCATTCGATGAACGGACTTTAAAAAATTGATCGTTAAGTCATTGTAGAAGCAGTGCGCACTGCTTGTGAAGGGAGGCCCACTTATTTACAATGGCGTCTTAGAAGACGAACTTTCCAAAGATTAGATCTATACAAAACTAATGAAAAATTGAAAATTAAACTGCAGTGACTTCAGACTCCTTAGTATAACTGTACACCCTTTAAATGATTCTGAATCGCCCTTAATTTTTTAGGATTCGAAAGATAAGTGGTTCGTATGTTTTAGGTGACCAAAGAGACGAACTTTTACAAATGTAATATATAGATTACGTTTCATTTTCGTAATTTGTTAATCATTATTGGTCTTAGATCTTAGAAGAAAGGGACGCGACCAGACCTGCTGCCTGTGACAAAAGTTTTCTCACACAGCCAGATCTGAGCAGTTTTACGGGCGTCATTTGTGCAGAGGAGTGACGAAAATAAGTGCAAATGAGTGCAGATGAGTGCAGATGAGTGCAGATGGGTGCAGATGGGTGCAGATGGGTGCAGATGGGTGCAGATGAGTGCAGAAATTAAAAGGATGTTTGTTTCATTTTTATTTCCTTCGTGTGTTTGTTTTTTGTTTGTTTTTTGTCTTTTTGTCTTTCGTTTTTTCCCTTCTTTCTTTATGTCTGTATTTTTTGTCTTTTCTTTTGTATTCTTTCTGTCCTTTTCGTCCGTATTTTTTCTTTAGTTCATCCTGTCTTTCTCAATTTCGTTCTTTCGGTCTGTCTTTGTCCTTTCTTTCTTTCTTTCTTTCTTTCTTTCTTTCTTTCTTTCTTTCTTTCTTTGTTTCTTTGTTTCTTTCTTTCTTTGTGGATTGTTTGTGCCATTTTCTTGACTTATGTATACATGAACGTTCGACATTATGTCACATTTATCACATGTTTTTAATCTGGTTTTTGTTTCCTTTCTTAATTTACTTTTTATGTATGTCATTTGTTTTTAAAATCTTTATTTACAAGTAATCTTTTTCTTAATTTCAGGAAATCTTTTGGAAGGACAACGTGGAGCATGTATTTGTGCTACCTGTTAAAATGACTCTTTTGTCCGTTTGTTTCGTTTTGTTTGGGGGGGGGGTGGTTGTCAGGGAGGGGGCATGCAATACCTTTGATCAAGTCTTATTCTTATCAATTATCTCTCTTGTAAAACTGCATAATGATAACTATCAAGCAATTGGGTGTTCTATTTGGGAATATAACAGTATACTTTCCGGCTATTATGAAAATCATAACCCCCCCCCCCCCCTGAGATTATATTGGTATTATTTTATTTATTTTGGAGGGGGGGGGGGTATTTATCAAACCAAACACTCCTTAACAATCTAACAAAGACATTCTGGGGGCTTACACAAACGGAGAGAGAGATAATGTGCTTGGTCCTTTTATCAAAATTAAATGACCAAACCGGAGGCCTGGTATGAAATAACTGTTTCACGACATTGTACTGAACACTGTGAGTGACACCATTACAGTGGGGCTTAATTCTAATGTAACAAACAATCCTAAGAGTATTCAGCATTTAGAAAAATAGAATAGCCCCTAATTCATTAGATACAAAATTAGAACGCTTTCCTTTACAAAGTCCAGTTATAGAGCCATCTGTGCTGTGTGAAAAGGTCCAATAGTGAGAATATTGTCCGCCTCTCTTCACCTCTCCTCCTTCTACGCCCTTTTTCTAATAAAAAAAATTATGCAGTCGTTTCTAGGCTCCCATTAACACAGTTTAGATGTAAGAGGCGGGGTTCCGCCCCTGCCTGTCAGGGTCAACCTGGACTTATATGGATAATTTCTCTTTAAAACTATTATGATTTGCTTTTGTCGATTACTCAAATGCCCAAGGGGACCAAAGGCGCTCGTCGAGTGGCGTTGCACAACGTGATTCAAACGCCTAGACGCCGTCATACTGTCACTTAGGCGTTTGACTCACGCATATTTGTGTAGCTCTAAATCGCCCATGAGTGACTTATGTAAGAAAGTTTTTTGGTTTTTTTTAGTTGGTTACAGACTATTGTCCTACTTCATATTACATTTGTATATCATATATCTGAATTTCAGATTCGTAGGTACGAGCATAACGAAATAAAACGGATTTAAAAAAAAATTTTTTTTGCTTCTCCTGAAAAATTTGCTTTTTTGCACTTAGGCGGTTGAATCACGCGGCTAGCGACCAGTCGTCCTTATCTCTCCCCCTTCTTTTTGTGTTTGTTACTCAATTGTAACACTTTTAATCTCAGGTACTTATTTGACCTAAGTCTGTTGCAAGCGCCATAAATCGTTTACTAAATCATTTGCTATCGTTATCTTTAGGGCATAAAAATCCCGCACAAATACTTTGTGCAAAATCTTACAACACCATCCGACTGCATGTTCACGTTCAATGAAGGTGTATTTCCGTCTCTGTTTTTCTTAAAGTTCAAGGTCGCGGGCGGTTGCCGGGTGCTCGAATCTGGAGTGTGTTTTTTCCCTTCTTTCCTATAAAAAATCTATCGCTTTCCTCATCTCTCCTCCTTCTTTTTCTGTGTTTGTTACTCTCTTGTAACACCTCTAATCTTCGGCACTTACGAGATAACCATATTTTGTTGCAAGTGTCGTAAAACTCTGACTAATTTAACTTAGTTCAAGGGTCATTCCCTCTTTGGCTCCTTCTTACTGCTGTCTTTCAACCACACCAATGATCTTCTGGTAGGAAAGATCTACACCTAGCCTTCTCGGACAAGGGCGAACAATCTCGGAGGCCCCGTGTGCAAGTTGCGCACCTTCAAGATCCCTTGGAGGTCTAAAATCGATAAGAGTACGCTGATCAAAATTTCCTACCAACTAATGATGTTTAATGTGTCCCGTGCGCTCATATGACCTTATGCAGTTGCGACCGCCATAAAACACTTACCAAAGAAAAAAAACAACAACAACAATTGTCGTTCCTCTTACCGCTCCGACATATCCATCTTCTCCGGCTTCGTGACGTCACCATGTTCGTCCTCCACGTCGATGCATATTCCGTTGGGCTCGTCCATCATACTTTCTTCTATCGTTCCTGTGGAAGACAAGACAAATCATCATCATCATCATCATCATCATCATCATCATCATCATCATCATCATCAT